TTATCTTATCTTATCTTAAAGGCTCGACCCCGACCGTGCTGCTGCACAAAGCGCTTGTTGGTTCAAATTGTATCAATATTTATCGTGTTGCCTGTCCAAATTGCATCAACTTCGAACTGCAGATTCTTGGGTCCCCAGCAATATACCTGCCAAGTGTGAAATTGATCAGATTGAATGATTCTCAAGATATGTGAAGGACGCGCACACATATGTATTATTACACATACTTATACTTATTATTACCGCTTATTGCCATAGGTGCCACCAAAGAGAATGAAGGGGAGATCTTTGAGATTGTAACTTTAAAGCAAAACAACTTGTCGATTGCTACTTACAGCTGTTTGATTTGATCACTTCTGTTCAGCAAGATCATTTTCACAAATTGTATGATTTTTGATTAAAAAGTGTTAGGCTATAAAAGAACTACACTATGGTTGTATGAGTATGAGTATACACAACCAGGAGGTAAAGGTGGACTAGTTGGCTTGATGGCTCTTTGTTGGATTATTTAGCCACTTGTTAGACACTTAGAGCTTCAAAATTCCCAAGAGGAGTATTTACTGATGTATTTACCAAAACAATTAAATCTCTTAGCCACAGACCTTATTCAAGGCATACTGCCAATTACGAACCAAACCCATCCAAAAAAACAATTAACTTTGAGACGAGGGAACAGGAAGTGCATAAATGCTGACTCGTTTCTTTGTTTTTGGACTCATTCCTACAACACTCAATAGAACATTTGTCAATGCCTTTCAAAATGATCAATATCAGTGTGTTAGATGAGCGTTGTCTCATCAGCCATGCAATTTGTTGAAGTTTGGCTCAATATAACATTGCAACATTGAGTGCTTGGTTAAGTTGAGGAAATGTCAAGCTTCCTTTACTGAGACTATTTGCATGACTGCATGAGTTTGCCTTTTCAAATGTAGGTCACTTTAAGTGTTTGAGCAAACAAGCTGTCATTTTTCTGGTATGGATTGTCTCCTTTTGTTATGTGGTGAATCCATTTAGCCAAGCTTTTAGCAGACGCTTTTATCCAAAGTGACTTACAATTCAGATTCTATCTACAACGTAGGCACAGCTACGGGAGCAATTTTGGGGTTAAGTGTCTTGCTTAAGACATCGCCATGCGGCTAGTGGAGCCTAAGCCGGGGATCGAACTGCCAATCCTCTGATTGAAAGACAGCTCTGCTCTCCACTTAGCCACAGTCGGAAGATTACCGATTAACCAATTAACTCCTTAACAATATGGGTTTTCTTCCATTTCTTCGCAAATTGATTTGTTAGCAGGATGTGTATTGTGTTGGTGCCATATTTGTTAAAAATGTCCAAAGTGATGTCACCAAAAAATGTTACATTTAAAAGAAAACTCCTCCGTTTTTTAAGTTGTGCTGGGAACAACGTCCCCACTGGCCAAATATCCATGAGGAATTGGGTGAACATTTAATTTCAGAAATGATTTCACCACTCCGAACATTTTTTCTCTCCATGCTGACATCACATGGGGTGAAACTGTCCCATGCTAGGAGCTAATGGAACAAGACTTTCAATGGTACGCATTAACCAAAATGTAAACTAATAAAGGCCGAAAAAACATGGAACTCGGCTAGCTGACTGACTCCATGGGAAAGTATACTTGGGTCATGCTGCGAAATTGCCTTTTTCCGATCTAAGATTCGTTAGAGATGCGTTTCCATGTCCGTTAGACCACCATCTCCAGGTTCACTTTTACACTTTGATCTGTACGCTTTAGCTTCCATCTTTATCTTTTTAACCTGTTTTCCCCCCTGAATCAGTTTGACATCCTCAATGTATCCTTCAAACGCACATTGTAGACCTTTCTGTCTGCATCTCTCTGAAATCGCTTTTTTAAAGAAAGGGACACCACCGTTCCTAATTTAAAAACAAATGTACCTGACAGAAATACCCTCCGTGTGTTTCCTCTCTGTTTAGTGAAGGATCAGTTTAGCCGGCAGTCGGGACCCTGATTAAAGCTATTTCAAAACTAACGCTTGATTAAGTTAACGACCATCATCAAGTTGTTTTAAATGCCCGGCTACATTAATCTATCACCAAAAAGAAAGAAAAAACAGACGCAGGGTATTTCTGTCTGTTAGCGTTCATTTTAAAATTAACCTGTAATTATCCATCAAAATTAAAGCATATTTTGCGGAGATGGCATATTTAGCTAAATAGTGTGAAATTAGGTGAGAGAGCCATCGCAATTTAAATTTAGAAAAAAATGAAACAGGTGGGAGAAAATGTATAGAAATTAGTTTTTTT